AAGAAAGACTGCCATTTCTTTTACTTTATTGATGGAGGCAGGTTAAGCTAGCACCCTGTGTGATGAAGAGCTAGGAGCTTTTGTAGGCACAGTCTCAGTATGAATCAACAGCATGATAGGGCAGGCAAAGAAGCCAAGGGGATCTGGGGCTGCATTGAGGAGCAGGGGAAATGAAGACATGGTCTATTCATCGCCCTGGTCAGACCACAGTTGCACTATACTCAGTTCTTGGGAGCTTGGGAAGGGCCTTGGCTAGCTGGGAATCACCCAGAAGAGCTCCCAGAATGGGGAAGGTTCATAGGATCATAAATGCTAAATTTGATGAACCTCAGACGTCACATAGTCCAACCCCTTCATTTCTACAGATGAGGAAACTGAGGCCCTAAGATATGAGTGACTTGCTGAAGGTCACCTAGTAAGCAAGTGAGTTTGGTTTTGATCTAAGGTTCCTGGACTCCAGAGTAAGGCTTGTTAATCTGATGGGGTTCTAAGTTTAGGCCATCTGAGGATAAGCTGAAGGAACAGGGAAGTTTGTTCTGCAAAGAGAAGACCCAGCGGTACATGACCCACTCCATGCTTGTCTCCAAGGACTGTTAGGTGGAAGACAGAGCAGCCTTATTCTGCTTGGCCCCAGAGGGCAGAACCAGAAGCAAGGAAGAATGGGGGATAAGGAGATGAAGATGCCAAGAGGACAGGCCCCATGTGAAGAAAACTCCCTGATGTGAGACCTGCCAGTGGTCTACGCAGCTCCTGGTGAAGATGCCCTCTGTACCAGCCCCCTTGAGGCACGGGGACTTGCCTAGGAGTACTTAGCCTGTGTGTGTCCAAGGCAGGATTTGAATCTGAATCTTTCTGACTCTGAGGCCCTTTCTGTCCATTATACCACAAGTGTACCTGATGGCTGTGAGCACAATTCCAAAATAAAATTCATCAGAAAATGTTTAGCCTCCATCACATCTTTCACTGAAGAAACCGAGAAACCCAACCCAAGGCATTGCATGAGGCACTGACTTGGGAACAAAAATTCAGAGCCTTCTGAGGACACTAGGAAACCTGGCCCTGGCAGCCTCTCTCTGCTTTGTGATGCGCCCCAACTGCTATTTGCTTTGGCTCTTCTAGAGAAAGCCCACTTCCCCTCCTGTCATCACCTGAGAGCCAATACAGCTGGGAGAAAGCAAGCTGGCTTCTCTCCTGCCCCAGGCACCGTCCTGCCAAGCACCGGCTCTGGCCAGATGCCAGCCTTATTATTGCCGGGGATGGTAGGAGATGATGCCTGCAGCAGCAAAATGTAGCCGGGGCTCCATCACCAGGCTGAGCTTGTCAGTGCGGGCTCCGAAGGAGAGCTTGCTTAGACTTGTGCCACTCCGGCTGAATGATGCAATGTCAAAGGTGGCCCAAGGAGAATGGGAGGGACTCGTACGGTAGACACCCTAGCCAGAAGACCATCTGTAACATCAACGAGGGGGGCGCAGCATCTGCGTGGACCGTGTGACTGAAAGGAAGCTCATCTTATTGTGCAAGGGTGACCTCCAGCCTCCTCACAACAAGGCTAAGACGGAGGTGCTTTTATTATCCTCATTTACAGATGAGGAAACTGAGGCTAAGTGACTTGTGCAGGGTCTCTCAGTTAATAAGTGCCTAAGGTAGGATTAGAACTCATCATTTCTGTAAGCTAGGTACAGCGCTCTGCTCTACACTATCTACGTAGACACCTTGTTCCGACTCTTTCACAGAACTCTGTATAAAGTGACACACACGCGTACTCACATACTTGTAGCCAGGTGCGTCTGGTCTGAGCTGTTATCTGACAAGCAACGCTAAGACACACCTGTACCCACCTAAATAGCATGGGTGCCCCATGCCCAGCCAACGCTAGATGAAATCTAAGCCCTAGACAAACTCGAGCCAGTTGGTGTATTTCCTCTTCCTTTTCTCCTGTGGGTTTCAGCCTGTACATTTCCTCTCTCTCCCTCCTGACCATTCCTATCCTTGCCTCTGCCTGCCAGAAGACCGCCGTCGTGATTGCGTTATTATTATGTTAGATATATTGCAATATCATCTGTCTCAATATAATTCAGAGGCCAGGGAAGACTTGGGGGCAAGGAGTTTCCTCCCCAACATCTGTTCAGTTGCAGAATGAACGTCAGCCAACTGGCTGGGCCCTCCCAGAACTTCCCTTATAGGGAATGTGCTCAGGCCAGCCTGGTCTCCCTTCCTCTCCAGGCTCCGCTTTGAGGTTTTGGATCTCCTCTACCCTGCCACAGAGGCCTCCTCGCCCTGGCATCCACTCTATCCCTGGGGTCCTCACAGGTCCCCTCTTCCTCTGATGAAAAACCCTTCAATGTCATGGGGATGGGACAGGCATTAGCTGAGCCCCAGCTCTTTCAGTTGGCGCAGACTTGTGTTACCTGGGGGAGAGGAGGAGGTTAGAGAGGACCACAGATAAACTATCAAGAAGGGTCTTTGGTGACCAGTGAGATCAGCTTCAATATTGTCATTCACCTTAGAAAATCCCTCAGCTCAAAAGGCTTGAAGGTTGGAATGAAATCATCAGACTGAGGGGGAAAAAAGAGGGGAAAGCACAGAGAAACAGATAGCCAAAATTTATTCTTCCTCCTGCATCCTCAGCACCTAGCACAGCATCGGCTACACAGTCGGCATTTAATACATGCATGCTGACTGAATTCGGGGAAGACCACTGGACTTGGAGTCAGTGGTGTTTGCAATCCTGCTCAGTCGCTTACTACCTGTGCAAACCCGGGCAAGTCTCTTCAGCTCTCCTGGCCTCAGTCTTTCTATCTGTAAATCGAGGGGGTAGAGCTGTATGACCCTGCGGGTCTCTTAATGAAAGAAAGGTTGGCCTTGTTCCCTTTTTAAAAAATGAATATTCTACAGAACATCAGCCCAGACACTCCCCTAGAGTTTACACGCTCTCAAGCTGAGGCATGAGACATGTGCAGAAGCTAAGCACAGCTGCCCGGTGTTCTTGGGGCTGATCTAAAAACATCCGAGGTGCCACGGCATCTAATGATGATGCCTCCGGAGCTGGCCAGGCTTCCTGAAGATCCAGACTACAATCAGAGCCAGTCCAAGATGTCAGAACCTCAGGGAGCCATTTTCTGGAGGCCCAGCTGGTATGCTTAATAAAGGTGGCCTTGGCCTTCTGCCATGAGTGAGGTAGTTTCCATTGGCACCCTGACTCTGGCTGACTTTAATTCCTCAACATGCATCCTCTCTATACCCTCTCTCTCTCTCTCTCTGTCTCTCTGTCTCTCTCTCTGTCTCTCTGTCTCTCTCTGTCTCTCTCTCTGTCTCTTTCTCTCTCTCTCTCTGTATCTCTCTCTCTTTCTCTCTCTCTGTCTCTCTCTCTGTGTGTCTCTCTCTTTCTCTCTGTCTCTCTCTCTGTCTCTCTGTCTCTCTCTCTGTCTCTCTGTCTCTCTCTGTCTCTCTCTCTGTCTCTCTCTCTGTCTCTGTCTCTCTGTCTCTCTCTCCCCCATCTCTCTCTCTCTCTTTCTTTCTCCCTCCTTCTCTCTCTGTCTCTCTCTCTGTCTCTCTCTCTCTCTGTCTCTCTTTCTTTCTGTCTGTGTCTCTCTCTTTCTCTCTGTCTCTGTCTCTCAGTCTTCACCTTCCTCCCCAGAAGACTCACTTTATGGCTTTTGAAAGGTAAAAATACTTTAGGGTCTGACTTGAAGGAAGTAGAGAGGGGAGGATCAGTCACCCAGTCCCCATTTATTTAAGTACTGACTGGATGTCACACCCTGTGCTGGGAACTCTGGATCAACAGACACAGGGTTTTGTGGGTGGGTGGGTGGGGAGCAGGAAGTAAGATGAGGATAAGAAAAAGGAAATGGCAGAGACAGAGGGATGATTCTTCATTGGCCTTGCAAGACAGATCCAGTGTTGCTGGTCTTATCGATCACTTAGAGAATATGATAATCAGTAAGACTACATTACAGATGTTCCAGAGGAGATGCCTATCTATTTTGGTGAAGGGATTTCTACACCAGGGATTTCTTCCCATTTATGAAATTTCAAGTGGAGGCAAAACACTTTAATTATTTTTTTTTAAAGACAGAAAAAAGGGACTTTATTTCTTTAAAAAACAAGTGGGCAGACAAAGCCAACAGCTGCACAGGGTGAGATGACATGGGTAGGTTGCAATTTGCACCAATGGAGAGACCGCCCACCTAGATAAGAGCAGACAAGATTACAGAATGCATATTCCCTTTGGCCCTTTGCTATAACAAAGCATCCTCACAAGAATGATCTCATCCGATTCTTGCACACCACCTACATACCTAAGCCCATAATAGAGGTCAAAGAACTTTAGGAGCTTCCCGCTGCTAAGGAGCACTGGGAATCCCCATCTTGGGAGTCTCAGTTCTACCCCCTACCCCTACCCTTCCCATTACACAAGGCTGCCTCCCAAAGAAAACAGACTTTCTTCAGATCACCTAGAAATAAATTCTCGTGATGGCATAGTCATTTTCAGAACAAGGAGAATGCATCAGGTTAAGACATGACTAATTGATTGTCATAGCTCCATTTTCCCACTGTTTGGAGAAGTTGCACTGACTGCTTTCATGCTTTCTCCCAAGAAAATGCCCCAATTTCCTTCTTTAACTGCCGTCTCTCTTCAGGAGGAAGGCAATGGCATGATGTGCTATCGTAGGATTCCCAAGATCCCACTGCTGGATGCCAACCACTTTTTACTATCATCAACAACCATTATTTGGAGAACAAGAAAACAGACGGTTCCCCGAATCCTCCCCTTCCAGAATGGAGTTGTAATGAGAGAATCCAAGTCTTCTCCCTCTGCACTTAGGGAATGCTTTCACTGCTGTTCATAGTCAGTTTAGGGTTTTGTGCCAGGCGTGGCTCTAAGGAGGCCCTGGGGCTACAGCACGGCTCCCTCAGGTTTCTGTCCTGGTGCAGACCAGTGCTTTTGGGAGATCCTATAAACAGCTAGAAAGACTCAGGATGGCTCAACGCACACGTACCTTATGGCGCTTGCTGACAAGTGACCGTAGGAGCCGCTGGCCGACGAGCTGCTGCGAGAATTATTGAGAATGGTGACCAGGGAGTTGGGGGACGTCCTTATCATGGTCTGAAGGTCAAAGCTATGGTCAGACAGCGGGGAGATGGACAGCGTCCGTTTCCGGCTTGGTCTCGTGGACAGCCTGGGACTGGGGAATCTGGTACCTAGTATGTAAACAAAACCAGGCCCAATTACGTCGGATTGTACCAAGTACCTGGTTATCTGTTACTCCTGGGCACGTGCTGGGAAAGTAAAAGAAAGACAGGCCAGGCATACACACACACACAGAAGCAGCGGTGGCAGCTCCCCTTGACAAGCTCCCCTCTTCCGATCTGTGATCTACTAGCTACAATTGAAGAAATTAGGGAGAAATATTTATCTTGCACTAGCTTACCTCAGGGGAGCGCTGTTTATTAATGTGCAAACAAAGTGATGAATTGCTAAACAAAAGGGAAAGACTTTCATGTGTTATCCCGCCCATTTCTGGTGATTTATGGATCTGACTCTCCTTAGACATTCACATCATTAATTCGCCACGAGCAACAAGACAGAGGCTCAGAAGAGGGTCCCAGAAGACTTAAGCCCCCACCATTTCCAAGAGACAAACTGAAAGAAAACATGAGATTCCCATCTACCCAAGCTCCCCATTGATCTTACCTGATCCAGGTGACGCCTAAAGAGAGAATAAAGCTCTCAATGAGACATTTGTTTTTCCAAAAAGGAAAACCACGAGATGCATTTGAAAATCTGACTTTCATTTCTACGTACAGAACTTCCAAGGCTGGTGGATGAAAAGGAAAGAGAATGGATGGTACCCTAGCCATTTAACTTCCTAACTGAAGCTTGGCTCTGCCTTTCAGACTAATGGAGGAGGAAGGAGCTCAGAAAAGACCCTACTGCAGTTACCACTGAGCCTCGGGGCTCAAGTGCTTGTGGGGTGTGCAGAATCCAGCCATTTTTTCATGGAAAGGTTAAAGAATTAAAGACTACCACATTCCCTTCTCCACCCCACACTTCAGCCCTATTAAAAAATGCCAGTTCTTGGGATTCCAGGTTTTAAATCTGCTTTGCATTGACAGTTATACTCCGCTGACTTAATAGTGTCATCTCCAATGGAACATTTTCATTACTGAACCATGGAAAGGAAACTTAATGAAAATGCCCGATGATCATTTCACCCCGTAAGAGGCAAACCAAACAGGACTGGCCTGAAGTGGAAACAGAAGACTTTTCTGTCCCAGCATGGTGATTTATCAGCTGGCAGTATGTGTACATAGCCTTGTATTGGTGGAATCTGGCCTTAATGTAAGGCACCGAGTCATCACTCAGTGATCAAATCAAACGGACAGAAGCCTGGGCCATGGGGGCCCAGAGCTCTCCATCAGCAGAACTGGTTGACCAGCTGGACACAGGGTCACCCTCAGTAAATTCGGGGAGCTCATTTCCCAGAGTGGAATCTTCATGTGTGAAATAACGTTGCTTAAAAATTGTTTAAAACACAGACATGCATGGAACAAGAGAATGGTAATCCCACAGTTGAATGAGTTTGTCATTTCCATGTGGAAAATCAAAATTAACTTTGTCAATTTTTCTAGATCTTTACAGATAATTCAGGTCTTTGCTTTCTTAAATTTTAAAGATCTGAGCTCCAATCCTTTCATTTGTTGCACTGTGAATAGTAATTGATAGAATCATAGTGTATTAAGGGAAGGGAACTGAGGTGGAAAAGCATTTCTAGAACAGCTACTATGTGCCAGGCATTGTGCTAAGAGCTTTAAAATATTATCTCATTTGATCCTCACAATAACCCTGGGAGGGGAGTGCTACCATTATTCCCATGTAACAATTGAGGAAACTGAAGCAGAAATTAAGTGACTCGCCCAGGGTCACACATCAAATTTGAACTCAGGTCTTCCTGACTCCAGGCCTGGAACTCTGTCTAATGAGCCTCCCAGCCGCCCCATATTATTTTCACTGACAATATACGACTTCACTCTCTTATTGTTAGTATCTGCCTCTGGGGATGCAGCAGAAAGAGTGCTGAACTTGGGTGAGGAAGGAAGACCTGTGTTCAAATTCTGAGCAGTGAGGAAGGACACAGGAGGGTGTCCAGAGGATGGCAACCCGGATGGTGAAAGATCTCAGGTCCGTTCTTTGGTAAGATCAGCTAAGAAACTGATGACCTTCTGCTAGTCATGGAAAGGTTAACTATGGAAGAGGGGAATCTTTCCCAGCTTCAGGTGATGGTCCTTCTCCCTCTGCATCTTCCATCTGGTTGTTTGCATCTTGACTCCCACATGAGAATGGGAGCTGGCAAGGGCGGTGGGTCTGCCTTTCTTTGACTTCCCAAGGGCTTAGCCTAGTGCCTGGCACATAATAAATGCTTATGGACTGACTTTCAGACTTTTCTGCTTGACCCCTGAGGGCAGAGGCAGTGGGTGCAAGTCGAAAAGAATGAAATTTGGGCTTGAGCAAGATAATCATTACAGCGACTTCACGGTGAAATGGGCTGCGTTGGCAGGAGCCCCGTTTCCCAGTTCTGTCTGGGGTCTTCTAGTGGCTAGATGGCCAATTGTTCATGGTTGACAAAGCATTATTGCATCTATGACTTCATTTGAAAACGTCTGAGAATTGATGATTGGTGAACTCCTTTGAAATTCTCTGATTTTACCAAGTCAGAGAAATAACCTTTTTTTAAAGATGCATTCCCTCTGAACTAGAAAACAAGGTAGAAGTGGTCCTGTTTTGCCCAACTCAAAACTCAGCATTAGCAGTTTTAAAGATGGTAGAGAAAGAGCGCCCTTTGAGCACCTTCCTGTGTGGCACCCACTCCCTGTGGGAGAGGTGGAAGACCAAGACTTAGGAGTGCTTTGAGATCTTTGCTTAGAAGCCACTGCAGAATTATAAATGACTCCCCCTGTAGAGCAGCTGAACTAAACAGTCAGGGTTTTGCAGCGATCACTCTTTCTGAAATGAGCGTTGGGGCACCGTTATTGTTCCAAAGAGACATCTTCATTTGGCTTCGTGCTAATTGTTTTGTTTCTCTGGTGTAATCTGAAATTCTGACAAAGACTAGAAGGGCTGATTTCTCTGTGATGAATGATGGGACATTGAGATTCCTACTTAATGACAATCAATTTTACCCACGACTCCAGCAAGTTAGGATACTTTTAATTAATTTTTACAAAGTAAAAGGGTGACTTCAGCCTTTATTTACATCAAAGAGGCCTTAGTCTGACTGAACACATTCTCATCAAATACAGAAGGTAATGTAGATTGACCTCCCAGCACCCACTCTTATTTTAATTCTCTATTTACTGTTTTAAAATAACTAATTTGCATAATAACATGCACTCATTTTTTTTCCTTCAAAGCTGAGACAATCTCTAATTGAAATGTGTTTATGATGAATCTGAAATGTAAGATAAACACACACACACACACACACGCACGCACGCACACACTAACCACCATACCCACCCTCCCCCATCCCTAACAACAGTAGACAATGACAAATCAGATTGGGGGAAAAAAAGAGGATGCATGGTCCATGTACCTGGGGAAAACACAGAGGAACCTAACCATGTCCAGGGACGGAGCTCAGGTGCTAATGGCATAGAATAAGAAACTCTAGCTGGAGGCTTCTGTCTGGATCTCAGCCAAAGGCTGAATTTCTAAACTTGGCCCCACAGTGAGCAAATCACCCCCAACGAGCTCAAAGAAAAAGTTTGGTTCAAAGCCTGATCTGACCATGAGATCCAAAGAGTCTAGGCAAGTGTCTTTCTCTCCAAAGGTCAGATCATCCGGTGTCATGAAGAAAGTGGTGGCCTTGAAGAAAGGAAGACCTGAGCTCAAATCCTGTCTTTGAAATTTACTAGTTATGTGATCTCGGACAATTCAGCAGATTTTGCACTCTGAGTATCATTTTCCTCATCTCTTAAATGAGGATAATAATAATTGTTGTGACTATCTCACAGAATTGTTGTGAGGTTTGAAAGAGGTAAACTTGTAAAGTGCTTTATTAATCTTCAAGTGCTCCTTAAAGGGCAGCTATTATATATTATTATATGAAAATGATGGCATGTGCTAATATGTACTTAACTACCTTTGATTTATGCTGTTTATATTTATATGCGCCCATGTAGATGGAGCGCTGGGATGGAGTGATGGAGTCAGGAAGATCAGAGTTCAAATCCCACCTCAGACACTTGGTTGCGGAGTGATCAGGGGCAAGACATTTCACCTGGGTCTGCCTCACTTTCCTTAGCTGTAAAATGGGGATGATACTATCACCTAACCTCCCAGGGGTGTTGGGAGAATCAAATGATATGAGGTTTGTAAAAGGCTTAGCATCATGCCTGGCGCACAGTAGGTGCTTAACCAATGCTCGTCCCCCCCTCCCCCACCCAAATGTGAGTGCCTCAAGAGTAGGGATTATTTTGCTTGGGGTGTTTGCATTGCTGATGCTCAGCACGGAGCAGGGCGCATAGTTGGTGCTTCTTTATGGACTGACGGATTTTTGTCCCTTTTCAGAAAGGGAAACGGACACACACTTAATCAAGGTCCCTTGGTTCAAGTGTCACCTTATGTGACCTTGGGTAAAAGGAGGGAATGAACCTGAAAGGTTGCTGCCATCTCCAGGTCTACGATTGCATTACTCTCATTCTTAACAGAAGTGGCTAACAGCAAAGCGCTTTACAAATATCATCTCGTTCCATCCTCACAATAACCTCATAAAGAGGGTGCTATTATTATCTCTATTTTACAGTCGAGGAAACTGAGGCAGAGAGGGATGAAGTGACTTGCCCAGGGTCACACAGCTAATACGTGACAGAACTGCATATAGGACTAGGCATAGAAAGCAGGAATGGACCCTAGAGGCCAGATTCAACCCCCTCACCTTACAGGTGAAGAAACTGAGGCCCAGGGAAGTTAATTAACTTGTCCAGGGTCACACTGGTAGTGAGTATCCGAGGCAAAATTTGACCCCATGCTCTCTGATTCCAAAGCAGGGGCTGTGTGGCTGAACCACACGGCAATCTCCCTCAAAGGTAGGTAGTAGCATTTTTGTTTCTTTTTGGTTTTTCATTCATTTTCCATCCTTACCTCCCTAAATGCCCAACAGTGACTTGAACTCAGTAGGCCCTTGCTCAATCCTCTTCTGACTGAATGGGGTCTTTGTGAGGCTTTTCATCAGGCTGGTAAGTTTGGGGCACCCACCCACCATGTTTTAGAAGGAATATCACCAACCAGCGGAGCGGCAGGATTAAGGAGATCCGGGGAGAGGGGTGGCAGAGATCATGCCGCATGAGAATTGATTCAAAGAACGGGGGGAGTTTAATTAACTGGAGTAGAGAAGGCTTAGTGGCGGGGCAAATGGTAGATGTCTGAGAATGTGATGGGCTGTCACTGAGAATAGGGTCTCAGAAAGTAGGGCTGGTAGCAGTACAGGGGAGGTGAAGAGATGCAGATTTGGACTTCATGTTAGGAAACTTTTCCTAAAAATTAAATTTTTATGAAAGTGGAATGGGCTGTCCAGGAGGTGGTGAGCTCCCCATCAGCAGAAGTCCTCAAGCAGAGGCCAAATGACCACTTGCCAGATATTCTGTGGAGAGGGTTTTTATTCAAGCATAGATTGGTCTAGGGGGTCTCTGAGGGACTTTCTGACTCTGAGATTGTGTGATTCTCCTTGGCAAAAACCAAACTGAACTTTGAGCAATAAAGGGTCATGGGGAGTCATTGATAGGGAGACAAGGCGAAAGGCAATAGGGGGCTACTGATGGTGTCTGTGCAGAAGATTAGCACGGCCAGACCGATAGCAAAGGACCGTCATTCTGGTAGCTTTGAGAAGGAGGCTTTGGAGAGGAAAGGGAGTGGAGGTAGCCATTAGACCCATTAGGCAGCTACTATAACAGCACAGCAGGCAATGGATGATGAGAGGGTTTGGACTGGGGCGCTGGTGATAGTGGGATGAATGAATAAAACCTCTGCAGCTATAAAGTCATTTTCCATTGATCCTCTCAACAACCCTATGAAGTGGGCAGGGCTAACTGTATTATCTCCATTTTTTAGAAGGAATATGTGAGCCTAGTAGGGGACAGGGAGCTTCATCGAGGGCTCAGCCACCACCCAGAAACAAAGGAGCCTGATCCTGAGCCTAGGTCTCCTGACTATCCATTGGCATTCCCACTATCCTTCTTCTGAGTGGCTCTACCAAGATACTAAAAAGAGGGTGAGAAAGTAACATGGTTGTCAAAGGAAAATTCTTTTTTTTTTCTTTTTTGCTTTTTGGTGAGGCAATCAGGGTTAAGTGACTTGCCCAGGGTCACACAGCTAGTAAGTGTTATGTGTCTGAGGCCAGATTTGAACTCAAGTCCTCCTGACTTCAGGGCAGCGCTCTATCCACTGCACCACTTAGCTGCCCCTCAAAGGAAAATTCTAATGCCTGATTTGGAGTCTGGTTGTTCCCAGATATGACTCACCAGGACTGATAAAAATGGCGGGTAGACAAACTAATTCCACAGTCAGAGAGAGGTTTAGCATTATCTCCTTTATTCTAAGGAGAGGTGTTATGGAATAATAATTGCTATTTTAAAATATTAAAGAGAGAATGTGTTTAGGTAATGATCGTTGCTGTGGTGTTGACTTGTTTCTGGGGGTTGGCCTTCTTGGAACCAGAGGGCGTTAATGGGAGGGGGCCATGGACAAGAATGTGACCAGAAGGGATACGAAGTCCACACTACACACAGTGCAGACCCTTCAGAACTGCTTACAAACTAAATTCAGATTGGATAACCTAATGAGAAAGAGCTTCTCTTGGGTAAAAAGAGAAGCAAACAAACTGGATTGTTGTCCAGGGCATCTCTCCTCCCCCTGGGCATCTTGGTGATAGGGAGTCTGGGAGCTAAATAAAGGCCCCTGTGAACTCCTAGAATCGCACCAACTCGCAGAGCGAGTCCTAACGGAATCTTTACCCCTAGCCGCCCCAACCTGCCGGACCATATCTCTGCATTGCTCAGCTGAACAGCTATGGAGATGCTCAACACAAGGTAAGAACTGGGAGGAGGCAGTGCGTGCTCTTCTCAGATTCCAGCACTCTGGCAGGCAGTCCGTGCTCTGACTCATCATTTTAGGTACTTTCTCCCTGAGACCACCTGATCAGCACTAAAAATAAACTTCAGATGACTCAGTCAGACTTTTCTTTGGGTCTTCCAGTGGCATATACCTGCCGACTTTCATGGTAAAGCACAGAGTCAATGATGACAAGGTAGGAAGCTCCAGGAGGGAAAGTTCAACATGAAAACATAAACGTGTGAGTAAATGCATCCAACAAAAACAGCATCTCTCCTGCTGCATGGATAAGTTCCAGCCCCAGCCCTCCCCCAAACCACAGGACTTACTATCCATGGCATGCAGGTATTCCATGTGAATGGCCCCAGCTCCAGTAGCTGCTGCAGAAGGAATAATGTCCGCGTATGGGCTGCGCTGGCCCGCCAAGAGGGCCATCTGATGGTGATAATACTCCGCAGGGCTGACACCTGCATGGGGGGCTGGAAGAGAGCAACATGTCATGTGTGATTATTGATCAAGAGTCGAGAAAACCATCAATGTCAAGACCTTCCAAGGAGACTAAATCAGCAATCCTCTCTCTATTCCAATACAATAAAATCTCATTCCTTCACATATCCGTCTCCACCTTTGAGTGCTGATTTGTACCTAGCCTGGTAGAGAACTCTACTCTCTAACACCATAAATCAAGTGTTTGTTAACTGAATTCAGAGTAAATATGAGTATTGAGGATGTTTAACAAACTATTTGTTAGGAAATTAAAGTAGATAAGTATACAGTGATGCTAATGACAAAGAACCCTTATCTATTCTTTAAAGCAGATCCAGCCCCAGAGCAACACTTGGCGAAGGGGCGTATTCAAGATACTATTTGTTTTTGTTGTGGTTCGATTGTGTCTGACTCTCTGTGACCAAATCTGGGCTTTTCTTGGCAAAGATGCTGGAGTGGTTTGCTGTTTCCTTCTCCAGTTCATTTTTATAGATGAGGAAACTGAGGCAAACAGGGTGAAGTGACTTGCCCAGAGTCACACAGCTAGCAAGTAACTGAGACTGGATTTGAACTCAGGTTTTTCTGACTCCAGGCCTAGCACTCTATCCACTGTGCCATCTAGCTGCCCAGTACTATTTGTTACATGAAACTAAAGACAATAAACAAAAAACTTAATTTTTTTCAATGCAGGAAAAAAGTAAGCTCATCGAGAGCGGGGGCTGCTTAATTCTTGTTTTAACATCCTCAGCACCTAGCGCAGTGCCTGGGACATACTAGAGACTTTACAAATATATGCTGATTAACTGACTCAGAACTATTGAGAATTTAGACTTTGCGAATTTTGGATGTTTTCCATTCATGAAGGTTATCAAGGTGTTACTGTAATAAGATATGGCCATTCCCTTGAAGCCATCCTTTGAATTATGTCACAGAACGTCAGTCCATCAGCACAGAGACCCACTCATCACCTCATAGTCCTATGATGAAATGCATTTGTACATAGTCGTCTCCATCCCAAATGTGCACAGAGACGATCTGTGTCCAACCCGTGGTAGAGCCTACCGACCCTGTATTGGTCTGATGAGCTACAGACACACTGTTCCGTGATACTGACATAGCGATGCCATTTTGGTCCTCTTTGAGGACCATATGTACATAATACGGGTACATGTCTATATGTACACAACATATCCATACCCAAAAATGTCTGTGTATTTGTGTATATGTGTGTTTGTGTATATATGTGTATATGTGTGTTTGTGTATATTTGTGTATATGTGTGTTTGTGTATATATCTTGCTTCCAGCAAATGTGATAGAAACCCAACGTGAAGGATGTATCGGACAATGCCCTTCCCTTTCTGTAGCTCCTGTAATGGCGCCGCCTTGACGCTCAACCAACCTGTTCACACACATGTGCTATTTCATAAAAGAACAACAAAGATGGATACAGATCAAACAGGAGTATCTCCATTTTACAGACTGGGAAACTGAGGCCCAGCCCCAGGTAAGCAGGGATGGAAATCCTCACACTCTCTCCCTCACAGAGCAATTGTGAAGATCAAATGGAACAAGCTACAGGAAGTGTCGGCAAACACGAAGCGCTGGCGGCATGTGAGCTCACGTTTCAGCCCCTTTCTGTCCCTTCCAGAAGAGATCCAGGTTAGGCTTGCCTACCTCTTTGCCCTCTCTCTACTTTGGGCCAAAATGCACAATATGCAAGGGGTGAGGGTGAAAACAATCCCCATGCACATAGTGGTCAAGTGCCTACAGTGTGCCAGACCTCACACTAAGTATTAGTGCTTGAGAATAAAAAAGCAAACAGTTCCTGCCCTCACAGAGCTTATATTCTACAGGGAGGATATAGCATGTTCATGAGCAGGTCCATGTGAAACATCAGAATGAATAATCATGGGACTGGTGTAAGTGGTTCCTAACGAGCTTTGGGGAGATGCTGTGGTTTCATGTCAAGGGACAGACTCTGGCCCCCACTGAGAGCCATAGAATTTTTTTCCCCAATTGTGAGCTCTGTTGTAAGGCAATTCTCCTTCTTTGATCTGAAATTAAAATCACTGGAAAGGATGAGGGGAAGCCAAAAGGAGGAAATTCAAACAAAATAACCGCCAGACCAAAAAGCCCCCTTGGGTTAGCTCTTCATGCAGAATCCCAATCATGTCTGAGATGAGCACAATCAGCCCCAGCCTTCTCTAACAAGCAAGAACATATGTTTGCCAAAGAAGGATGAAGTAGCTCATTATCTCAAGCCACTGGTTTGAAAGTTTCTTCCCGCAGTAGACAACCAGAGTATCTTTCCAGACACACTTAAAATACTTCCTGAGTTTTCTGACATAAGTGTCTGGGTTAACTAACAATAACACTGGCTGCCTGGCCTGGAAGAAACCCACAGCAGCCCTGTAAAGGCCCGCGGGGAAGACACAATAGATAAACGACATTTTGTATGAGAGTGGATTGCCATTGGAATAGATTTTTCCTTCCCAAGCCCCAGCAAAAATACAGTGATTTCCTTAGCAATAGTCAAGGTATTGAGATTTTAAAGTCTGGGGTGGATGGGAGAGTAAATGACTTGGAATGTTTCCAAGTGATCATTGGGAGAAAAATCCCGTTGCGTCTGTATCCCTGTGAACACAGTCACTGGACAAGAATGTGCTAAATGTTGACTCTATATTCCAACACCAGGCTAAGTTCTGAGAATGCAAAAGCACAGTCCCTGTCATCAGAGCTCCCCATTCTAATGGAAGCAACAACACCTGACATATGCGCATGTGCCATATAGGGAGTCAAAGAGAAGGTGTTGGCAGAGGTGGGGTGGGGACCAGGAAAGGCCTCTTGAAGGAGCCAGCATTGTTGCTGAGCCTTGAAAGAAGCCCAGGAAGCCAGAGGGCAAAGACAAGGAAGAGGAGCATTCCAGCTATGAGGGATAGTCAATGCAAAGGAAGGGAAATGGAAGGCTAAGAGTCACAGGTGAGCTGCAGCAAGAAGTCTGGCACTACTGGGTGAGAGAGTCCATGGAAAGCAGCAAGGTATAAGAAGACTGGAAAGCTAGGAAGAAGACAGGCTCTGGAGGGCTTTCAGAGCCAAAGAGTGCAGTTCATACTTGATCCTGGAGGTGATAGTGAGCCCCTGGCATATATTGAGCATAGAGGTGACATGGTCAGATCTGTGCTTTAGAAAGATCATTGTGGGAGCTGAGTGGAAGATGGAATGGAGGGGAGAAAGGCTCGAGGGAGGGAGCTAAGTGAGAGGCCTATTACAATAGTTGGGCATGGGGTGATGAGGTCCTGAATCCAGGGGTAGAAGTCTCACCTGAAAGAAGGAGGAGTTGATCAGAGATGTTCTTAAGGCAGAAACAAGATTTGGCTTGGGTGGAGGTGAGAGAGTGAAGAATCAATAGGGATACCAACATTGATAACAAAGCCTGGGTGCCTAGGACGATGGTGGTGTGCTGAACAGTCATAGGGAAGCTTGAGAAGTAGCAAGAGCATGGGAAGAAAGAGAAGGAATTTTGCTACGGATATGCTGAGTTGGAGCTGTCTATTGGACATCTAGTTCAAGGGGCTGAAAAGGCAGCGGATGATGTGAGACAAGAGATTAGAAAGAGGTTGGGGCTGGATGTATCAATCAGAGAATCATTTGCATAGAGATGATCATTGAACCCAGGGGAGTTGATTAGACTTAATGATCCAACTCCCCAGTGAGGCCAGCAGTGCCAGCATGACTATTTATATTTTATGAATGGAGAAACTGAGGCTCAGATTGGCAAAATGGCTTGCTCTTAGCCACACATGTAGCCAGTGTCAGAGGTAAGACGCAAACCCAAGTCTCAAGTGTCCATGAGAGCCTTGAGGGACCCCCATGATTAGTGTTTGTGACTTGGATGAAGAATCAGCAGGGAGACTGGAAAGGGGAAGTCAGAGAATTAGGAGGAGAACCAGGACCAGGAGAAATGCCATGAAAACCAAGGGAGGACCACATCTTGTGGAGAAGACAGTCATTGACAGGGTCAGAGATTACCCGTTAGTTTGGAAAAGCTGTGTTGGCTGAATGGTAATGTCAGAAGCCAGAACACAGAAAGTTAGGAAGAGAGGAAGAGGAAAGGAAGTACAGTCACTAATTGTAGATGGCCTTTTCAAGGAATTTAGCCACAAAAGGTGGGAGAGGTCTAGAAAGATAACTAGCAGGAATTCAAGTCTTTTTTTTTTTCATTTTTTATTAGGGACTCGTGAACATATTTGTAGATAACAGAGAAGGAGAGGAGTTCAAATTTGTTCTCAGACACGTCTCAGCTGTATGACCCTGGGCAAGTCCACTTAACCTCTGTTTGCCTCAGTTCCCTTATCTATAGAATGGGGATAATAACAGCACCTACTTATCTACCAGGATTATTGTGAGGATAAAATGAGATCATATTTGCAAAGTGATTAGCACAGTGCCTGGCACTTAGGGGTGCTAAATAAATATTAGTTATAATCTTAGATTATTATTATTATGAGATTACATTGTATTTAAATATTAGATGATGATGATAATGATGATGATAAGGGGTACAGTGGGGATGACAGAGGAGACAAACTCTTGGAGGAGACAGGATGGAATGGAATCACTTGTGTGCGTGGAGGGTTAACCTTGGCAAGGTCAAGGGTCACTTCTTCATGCGAGACAAGGCTGAAGGAAGAGAGAGTGGCAGGAAGCAAGTACCTGGGAGATGTGACAGAAGGAGGAAGGGAGAAGAGGGGGTTCTCATCTAGCCCTTCCTGCATTTTCTATGATGGAAACCATGGAAGGTTCCAAGAGAATAATGATAAGAATAGCCAATATTTATAGACCAAGTTAAAATCTTCAAAGTGATCTACATGTTTCCTCATTCCAATACCCCAGTGAGGCCAGTGCTACCGGGATGACTATTTATATTTTGTGAATGAGAAATGAAGGCTCAGATTGGTAAAAATGACTTGCTCATAGCCATACACATAGCCAGTGTTAGAGGTAAGACTCAAACCCAAGTCTGGAGTGTTCTTGGCTACCCCAGAAAGCCACTGAACTAACTTCTCTTCTCACTCCCTAAATCAACAATTAAGTCCATTCCTCCCTACCTAACTTTGAGGTCTTCTGCGGGGACCAAGTCCCAGAGAGGTCACAGGATCTGAGACATCGAGCCAGAAGGGACCCAAGAGTCCAAGGGTTTTAGCCAGGGATCCGTGAGTAGATCTCAGTGGGTCTGTGAACTCAGATGGAGAAAAAAAAATCTTCCCTTTTTACCAGTCTCTGACTGAAATCTAGCATTTCTTTCAATTATTTAAAAACAAAATTCTGAGAGGGGAACTGGAGGTTTCACCAGACTACCAAAAGGAGTCATAAACCTCTGATCTGAAGCCAACCCCCTCATTTTACAGATGGGAGTACTGAGGCCCAGAAAAGTCAAATCACTTCCCTATGGTCACACAGCTATTACGGGTCAGAGGTGGAATTTGAACCCAGGGCTTCTGAATGCCAGATCTAGTATTCACTTTCTCCGCCACCTGATGATACCTAGCTTGCTAACCTCAAAGGGTTTCTACAAGGCTTAGATAAAATAATCCATGTGAGACTGAGAAAAATAAGCTATCCTAATTTTATTATTTATTAGCTAAATACCTGGGAGGCAGCATAGGTTGGCCATCAAAGTGCTGCTATATAATTAAATCCATTTCATTGCCAACTCATATAATTAAAGTAAGGAAGGGCAAACGGGACCATGATTTACACCCACCTTGAGGCTAAATTCACAAAATCTGGAAGAGTTGTGGTGTCCCTGGCCCTGGTCCTAAATTCCCCTCAGCTACTCTGTCTGCCCTTCTATTGTTTGTGGATGGAATAACTATCAGAATTTCCTCTCCTGATGTCTCCAGCTTCTCCTTCCCTGTCCTCCCATTCCCTTGACGGCTGAAGTCAACCTTGGGAAATTCAAGCATCCAGGGAAACTAGGGAAATAACCACACTTCCTCCTTATGGACTACCAACATGAGATGTAAGAAAGGCCATGTGGCGGCACGTAGCCATAGAGCTGACCTCAGGGTCAGCAAGACCTTACCTGGATGCCAGGCCCACCTGGGACACAACCTGGCTGACACTTCATCTCTCACTGCCCCAGAGCGACTCTCCAGCAGCTACCAACTACAGGTGGCGGGGGAATCCCTTTATTGGAAGTTTCTTAACGCAATGAAATCACAGTTCTTGTTCAAAGTAAATACAATGGCGTGGCAACAAAGTGGACCCTGCTTCAGTCTCATCACTGCCTGAGCAATGATTTTATCTGCTCCATCTCTCAAGGTGAAGGGCTATTAAGCATACAGCCCACATCACCAGACTGTGCCCCATTCTCCAAAAAGATGGGCTGCTACTGTGAGATAGCGAAATTTTAAGAATTTTAGGTCACTATGCTGTGAGGGTCTGTGTAACTCCACTCAGTTCAGGGAAGAATTAATGTGTAAGGTAAGGTAGTCCTGTGTAGGGTGGAGGGAGAGGAGAAGAAGACGAGAGGAAGGAAGGAAGGAAGGAAGGAAGGAAGGAAGGAAGGAAGGAAGG